TGTCCTTGTCTCCAACATAAGGTCATAGTTAGAATTACACTGATGATTCGATGTTCAACTCTGTTCAGACCTTTATGGTTACTGTTAGAGGTTGGCGTAGGCTGGAAAACATCCAGCTGACCACTTTCATATTCATGGGACAGTGAACAAGAGAAAACTCAGCCATATTCAGGGATAGTAGGAACTGCCGATGCTGGAGAATCTGAGATAACAAGGTGTAGAGCTGGATGAACACAGCAGGCCAAGCAGTATCAGAGGAGCAGGAAAGCTGACGTTTCGGGTCTAGACCCTTCTTCAGAAACTTCTTGGCCTGCTGTGTTCATCCAGCTCTACACCTTGTATTCTCAGCCGTATTCATATGGTTTTCAAAAGCATCATCACATTCCATACCTCTGAGAAAGTGTTTGTGGACTTGCAAAATACACTAATTAAAATGCCTTTTAATTGGCTTGCTAGCAAAGTTGAGGTTCATTGGATAAGACTGGCATTGTGGCATGGAAACTAAGTTTGCTGAGTGACAAGAGACAAAATAGCAGTAAAAAGCAAGTTTTTCCAACTGGAAGAAGCTATGCAAATGGTGTTCTCCCAGGAGTTGGTACTAAGACTATTACTTTTCTTGATTTATTTTAATGACTTAAACTTAGTTTAAATGTAATGCAGAGGAAAAGTGACACATTTTAGCAATAAGAACAATATGAATAAAGATAATATGAATAAAAGGTTTTAATCTAAAGCCATTGTATAATGAAGAGATTTGTTAAAGTCATGGAAGGTTGTAGGGCAGGTTAAAAAACGGGATAAAAAGGCATGCAAGATCTGGGGTTTTATAAACTTAAATACATATTTAGAAAGATGTAGAGCTAGAACATTATGATGTACCTTTACAATACACTGGTTTATCCTCAACCGGACTATTGTTATCAATTCTGGGCATTGCATTTTAGGATATATATGAAAGGCTTAGAGAAAGTGCGTAAAAGAATTATGAGAATAGTTTCACAGATTACATGACTTCAGTTAAGTTGTGTGACTGGAGAACCTAGGGTTGCCTTTCTTGAAGAAGGTTGAATGGAGACTTTAATGCAAGTATTCAAAATCAAGGGTCTACATAGACTAGGTAGGGAAAAACTGTTCCCTTTGGTGGAGGAGTCGAGAACCACAGGATGTAGATTTAATGTGGCTGGCAAAGTAACCAAAAGGAAGCATTAGAAAACTTTGTCTTAAAAATTGCAGCATTCCTGAGAATGTTGAAATAGTGGCTTTCATAAGTGAATTAGATAAACTCTTGAAAATAAGGAATTATCAAGGTTACGGCGATGGGAGAGATAGGAGACTAGTTCAACTGCTTTTGCAGACAACAAGGTGCAGGGCTGGATGAACACAGCAGGCCAAGCAGCATCATAGGAGCAGAAAGGCTGACGTTTCGGGCCTAGACCCTTCATGCAAGGGGGAAAGTATTGCATGGTCCCTTTAAAAGATCATGGACTTTTTCTGTGCTGAGAGATTTAAAATGGATGTCTGTGATCAACAGCTGGAAAGCTTGCAAGTACACAGAGAGCACCTATTAGAAACATTTGTGTTGAAAGGCCGGGCAGTTAGCAGGCCAAGCAGCAGTTTTTTTTTAACCAAGACAACAAAACTTTTGAATTTAATCAAACAATTTGAACCAGGCATTTAGACACCAAAAATCTATTAAATTTAAATCTGACAGTTTTGACAGCTTGAACCAATCCTATTGTAAGAAATATTGATATGCCATTAAGAGTACAAAAAGGGGGCAGTTGGACAAAGCATCTCAGCTAGCTGCTATTCGCTAAAGCTAACGGCCCTCAGCTCTCAAAACAGAATTGCTAGCTCTTACAGCCTCCTCTATGTCTTAGAGAAAACACCATCTCAATAACAACAGTACCAACAGCACAACTAGTTAATATTCTTGACCGAAGAACTGACAGAGAAGGCACAGAACATCCTGGAAGATACGTAACCTGGCTGTAATTTTGAGAGACTAAATTTTTTTATGTATGTAAGTGGGACTTGTAGTTATTGGAACAGCATACCATTAGAATCTTGCTTTATTTGAGAATAGATAGCAGTTAGAAGGGATTTGTTCGGTTTGTTAATAGTTTAATTATTTTGTTCACTGTTAGAGTTAGATAAATAAATTGTTACTTGTTGATTTTAAAGTGAGTGTCAGGGATTTATTTTATTTAACCACTAGAACTTACACCACTTTTCGTACTCCTTTTACAGATTATAGGGCTAAGTGCTCCTCTTTGGGTGTTTCGGTTTTAGTTCTCAGAGGGGGTTAACCTCCACTTTATAATACAATACTGATTAATTGCTTGGGTCTGCACAGAAGAATTCTGGACAACCGGTGTTTCTGAACAATAGATGTCTCGACAGGAAAGGTTGTATTATACTGAACGGGGAGCCAGATAGCAAGTTAATGTTTTAATGTCTCAAAAAGCAGAATGGTGTACTTCTGACAGCAACATCTGCTATTAACTGCACGCTATACTCCGTTAACATTGCTGTTAAGGTTTCACATTAAGTGAACATTTTTAGCCACACTTACTTTTACAGTAAATTCTGGTCCATTCTAACAGTTAGCTATATGCTACAGTTAGCAAATGACTTCATACAAAGAGTAAAATAGTGTAGTTGTCAAGTTACTGGAATAGCAAATCAAAATTCAAGTTGAAATCCAACCGTCACTGTAAAAACATCTGAATTCAGTTAAAGAAAAGTAATTTATGTTAAAAAAAATCAGTAAAATAATAAATCATTGATCTCTTAACTGCTCACCAAAGTGGCCAAGCCAGCTGAATCAAATCACCACAGCACTTTTAGGTAGTGCATAACTAGGGATAGGTAACAAATTGATAGAAATCTCAAGCTTAAAATGTTTATAAATCAACCTAGCTAACGAACACACAAGATTATTAAAATGAATGAACAGTGAAGCTATTTTTCTTTTGAAGGTATTTTTAGCTGAGACAGGAATATTAGCTAAGACGCCAGGAAAGAGAGACAAAACACCAGCTTAACATCAATACAACAGACATCATTTCTGGCAATGTACTTCTGCCTCATAAGTTTAGGAATCAAGTCCTGGCTAAGTTTAAACTCTCACACGTTAACCCAGCTCTGAAAGTCCCAACTCCAAGCCTAGCTTGCATACAAGTTAACAAAAGTACATAACATGTGCAGTCGATTCTAAGGCAACTGTTTATATGTGAACTATGAGAATGATACAGCACAGATGGAGTTCACTGAGCTCAACCTGCCTGTCTCAGCTCCTTGGTAGAGTCATTCAATTAACCCCCACTTCCTTGCAGTGTCTGCGTAAAACCTGTAATTATATCTTCTCTTCAAATATTTATCCAATTTTGCTACATTTGCAGCATCATCTTCACCAAATGCAAAGTCATTGAGCACCCCAGTCGGAATTTCTGCCTCCGGAAGATCTAATTCTTGATCCCTAATTGAAATCAGTCTGCCTTTACCAGCTAAGTGTTTAAAGACTACTTTTTTATGTTAGTTTTTACATTAATTGTAAATTTATTCCCATATCCTCTCCTTGCCCTAATAGAGAAGAAATCTTATTTAAAACAAGGATTTCTATATTTAGCTTTATTATTTTCTCTCAAAAAGTCATGAATTCATTACCCCAGAGTGAGGTGGATGTTGGGATACTGAATACATTTAAGGAGGAGATAGACAGATTTATAATTAATAACGGGTTGAAGGGTTATAGATAGCAGGCAAGAAAGTGGAGCTGACGCCAAGATGACATCGGCCATGATTGTATCAAACAGTGGAGCAGGCTCAAGGGGCTGAAATTCCTACTCCTGGTTCTTATGTTCCTGCACTAATCTTACGACTATTACAGAATCAAAGAATTCCTACAGTGCAGAAATAGGCCATTCAGCCCATTGAATCTACACTGACTCTCCAAACAGCATCCTTCCCAGACCCATATCCCCTATCTTCATAACCCCGCATTTACCAGGTCTAATCCACCTAGCCTGCACATCCCTAGACACTATGGGATAATTTAGAATGGCCAATCCATCTAATCCGCACATGTTTGGACTTAAGTTATTCACCTCCCTTGTTATATTCCATTTCAACTATATCTTTAACCAGCCAGAGAGATATGGATGTAGTCACCCCTTCCATGGAAATTCACTTATTCTGTAACAAAACCATCTCCTCTTTGGAAGTCTCCTAAGTGGGAGTACTATCTAAAGTTCAACAGCAACATTTTGATAATGTGAGGAGAGCAGCACTTGATTACTAAGACCAGAATTTTGGACTAATTTAATTCATTTACCCATCCCACCACCCCCCTCCTTCAGTAATGTGTTTCATCTTCACTCAATGTTTTATTTTAGATTTATATAGAAGAGTTATTACAGGCAGCATTTTCGGTAGGGTATAAGTAATCTCCCTGTGAACATTTCATTTTCCAATACTGTCTCTTTACGCACATTAGTAGGATGGATACTTAGAGGAAATTTAATTTTCACAGAAATTGGTATAACAGAGTTAATCCCCTTAATTTAATGACGTAAGAGTTTGTACTCAATGTAGTAGCCATTAGATATATAATAAAACTAGAAGTTAAACATAATCCTAAACTAACAGAACATGTGAATTGCATTCACAACCACTTCAAATTATCAGCACACTACCATAAATATGCCAACACTTTTTCTGAGAATAAGTCAATTCAGAACTACCATCAAAGCTACAAACAGCAAAGGAATAGTGAATTTGGTACTTCTGCTTTCTGAATTTCATGAAGGTTCTTAAAATACTTTAATTACTTAAGATATTAAAATCCATCCCAGATATTACAAAAAGATTACTTCCATTTCCCAAGGGTAGATTCAATTTATAATCTATTACCCTATACGATTAAGGTTACTGAATTTGTGGACCACTGCTGTTTGAATAAGTGACTTTAGAATATGCTTATTAAATAGCATGCATACCTCATTTGGTTTCTGAGAGCCATCAGGACTAATTCGGAAAGACCCCACTTGAATTGTCTTCTTTGGATCCACTTTCTTAATTGCCCAGTCTAGTTCATCCACCAAGGCCCTGCAAACTTAAGGTTAAAACAAAATCAAGTCAAATAAATACAGGAAGACAGTTTTCACAAAAAATCAAAATGATTTTATAAATTGGCAGAGTAGCTTTCTACCCTCCATGAAATAAATCTAAAACATGCAGCTGCCTCATTAATTTAGTGGGGTTTTCTACCAAATTTTGGTATACAAATGTATAAAAAACTCTGAAAGTGAAATCTCAAATTATGAAAATCCCAGCTCATCTTAAAAAATAAAAATGTGACCAATACTTCAATGGCATAGTTGCTTAGAGAAATTACAAATGTTCTGATTTATAAAATGGAACATAAAGAGTTAAATAGATTGGTTCAGTACTGCTAGAGCATCTAAAACAAAAAAATTAAGATAATAAGTTCATGAAAGGTTGATCAAACACCTTGCATGTTGTTATTTATAGATATTTAGAAAGTTTAACATTTCTGATTAGATTGTTTTAAAAACTCATTCACAGAATGTGGATATCGCTAGCTATGCCATCCCTAATTGACCGTAGGACAGTTAAGAGTTAATCACTTTGATGTAGATCAAGGGGTCACATGTAGGCCAGACCTGGCAAGGACAGCGATTTCCTTCCCAAAATGGACATTAGTGAACCAAATGGGTTTTCCCACAATCTACTTGGTCACCATTAAACGCTTCGTTCCATAACTTTGCTGAATTCAAATTCCATCATCTGCCATGGCATTTTCAAACCATATTACCTGGGTCACTAGATTAATAGTTTAGTTATAATACCACAAGGCCATCAACAACCCTAAACTGTGTACTGAAATTGTGAAAAGAAATGCCAATGGTTGTAGTAGAACATCTAGCTGTCTCACAGACTAATCAAGCAACAGCCTGACTTTATCACTAAGTTATGATTACGCAAGTATGACAATGCCTCAGTCACCCACCATCACCATCCCTGGGCAAGTCCTGTTCTACTACCGGCAGAGGTGGTAACTCAGTGATATACAGTTGGGTGGGGAGCTGACTGAGGACTCTGCCCGAGCGATTACTTACCCAATGGATATTCATGGATTCAGTCAAACCTGCTGATTATCAAATACTGTCCTCCCTCAGCTGATGAATCGGTATTCTTCCATGCTGAACATCACCTAGAGAAAGCACTAAGGGTGGCAAGAGGGCACAATGTACTCTGGATAGGAGATTTCAATGTCCACCATCAAAAATAGCTCAGGAGCAGCAACACTGCTCAAGCTGGTTGAATCCTTAGTCTTTGCTGCTAGACTAGGTCTGCAGATGATAAGGCAGCCAAACTGAGGGAAAAACATGCTTGATTACATCTTTACCAATTCTCTTGGCATAGACATATCTGTCCATGATAGTATTGGCAGTTGTGACTTCGAGGAAAAATCCCACCTTCACACACAGAGGATATCCTCCGTTATGTTGTATGGCACTTTCACAGCACTAAATGGGATAGATTTCAAACAGACTTAGCAATTTAAGACTGGGCATCATGGGTCATCAGCAATCAACAGAATTGTACTCAAATGGGTAAAAACTATATGGGGTTACAGTACAAAATAAAGCCAAGATGACTAACACAGGTTAAAAATAGAAGTCTAAAGACATTGTGACTTAATCTACACAGCATTTGGGATAAGATAGATGAAATAGACATACACAGCTACGATATTGTTGCAATTAAGTTGACATGGCTACAGGGTAACCAAGGATGGCAAGTGAACATCCAGGGATATTTAATAAAAACCAAAAGAACTGCGGATGCTGTAAATCAGGGACAAAAACAAAGTTGCTGGAAAAGCTCAGCAGGTCTGGCAGCATCTGTGAAGGAGAAAACAGAGTTAACGTTTCGGGTCCGGTGACCCTTCCTCAGAACGGGACCGGAAACGTTAACTCTGTTTTCTCCTTCACAGATGTTGCCAGACCTGCTGAGCTTTTCCAGCAACTTTGTTTTTGATCCAGGGATATTTTATATTTACAAATGACAAGTGAATAGGGAAGAGGTGTGACAGCACCGTTAATTATGGATAAAGTCAATTCAATTGGAGGGAGGATATGATTCAGAAAATCATGATGTGGAATCTGTATGGTTAGTGAAGGAAAACACTAAGGAGCAGAAAATGTTGGTGGGAGTTGTTTATAGATTCCCAACCTGTAGCAGAGATGTAAGGGAAGGCATTAAACAGGGAGATTTAGATGCAATAAGACTATAACAGCAATCCATGGGTGACTTTAATCTACATATAGACCAAACTAGCAATAATACTGCAGTGAAGGAAGTCCTACTACAACCATTGGCTTTTCTTTTCACAATTTCAGTACACAGTTTAGGGTAGTTGACGGCTTTGTGTTATTATAGCTAAACTATTAATCTAGTGACCCGAGTCATATGGTTTGAAACTGCCATTGGCATTTAGGCCAATAATGTTGAGGAACCAACTGATCTGCAGGCTTTCCTAGCTTGGGTATTGTGCAATGAGAAAGGATGAACAAACCATCTTATTGTGCAGGGTCAGTTGGGCAAAGAGAGGCCATAACATGATACAATTGTTCATTAAGATGGACAGTGAGGAAGTTATATCCAAAACTAAGATCCTGAATCTAAACAAAGGGTACTACAAGGATATGAGATGTGAGCTGGCAATGGGGCATTGGGGAACCTTACGAAAATAGTTGGCAGTGGATTCATAGAAGATTTGTTGTATTTAGGTTTTCAGTAGGCATTTGGTTAGGTGTTACATTAAAATGGTTATTGTGGAAATAACACATTGATATGAATAGAAGATTGGCTGATTAACAGGAAGCAGAGTACAAAAGAGCAATAAATGGCTCTTTTTCAGGCTGGCAGGATGTCACAAGTGGTGTGCCACCAGGTTGGCGTTAGGACCTCAACTCTTTCAAATAAATGATTTGGATGAAGGGACAAAAGATACAGTAGCTAAATATGCTGATGACACATTAACTTTTCGACCAGTTGTAAAGAGAACATAAGGAGCCGATAAAAGGATATGGGTAAATGAAGTGAATGGACAAAGATCTGATATAGGGAGTACAATGTAAGAAAATATGAAATTATCCATTTTGCCAGATAGAACAAAAAACATTATCCCAAGTAGTGAGAAATTGCAGAGCCAAGGGATGCAGAGTAGTCTGGGTACCCTCATGCATAAATCACAGAAAATTAGTATGCAGGTACAGCAAGTAATCAGGAAAGTTAATAGAATGTTACATTTTATTATGAGGGGAACAGAATGCAAGAGCAGGGAGGTTATGCTTCTGTTATATATGGCACTGGTGAGACTGCATCTGAAGTGCTGCATACAGTACTGGCTACCATACTTACGGAAGATGTTAATGAATTGGAAGCAGTTCAGAGAAAACTGAGTAGATAATACCTGCAATGAGCAGATTGCTTCTTGAGGAGAGACAGGACAAGTTACATAGTCAGTTGACTTAATTAAAACATAACATATCATGAGGGGACTTGACCAGGTAGATGCGGAAAAGACATTTCTGCTTATGGAAGAATCTAGAACTAAGGTCAAAACTTAAAAATTAGGGATGTCCGTTTAACAAAGAGATTCATGAAAAGAAAATTCTCTGAGGGATGAGGGTCTTTGCATGTCCCTTTGTTAAAAGGTAATGGATGCAGAATCTTTAAATATTTTTAAAGGCAAATGCAGGTAGCTTTTTGATTACCTTGGGAATGAAATACCAATGGAGGTGTGCAAGAGTGGAGAGTTAAGTTTAAGATCAGATTAGATCTTACTTAATGACTAAACAGGCTTGAAGAGCTGAGTGGCCTACTCTTGTTCCTTTTGCACGTGTTCATAGGTAATGCTAATTGTTAAGCAATGTATAAATGATTTATAACAATTTTTCATTCTTATCCAACACAAAAATAAAACAGGGAAGGTGGCTCAACCATAGCTTACAAATGAAGTTAGGGATAGAAGATCCAAAGAGGGAACATATTTTGCCAGAATTTGTCAGAAATAAACAGCAAGCCTGAGGACTAGGGGTACTTTACAATTCAGCATAAAAGATTGATCAAGGGGAAAATAAAGCATGAGAGTAAATTTGTAAGGCACATAAAAATTAACTGTAAAGGCATCCCACATGTGAACAGAAAAAGATTGGCAAAGACTAATGTAGGTACCTTATAGTAGAAATGGGGGGTGGGGTGAATTACAATGGGGAAAGAAAAGAATTGAACACCCAAATAATTTCTCAGAAATGTTAGAGAACCAAGGATCTAGTGAGAGCAAAAAATTGAAGAAAATAAGTATTAGTAAGAACAAAAATTGTGCTAGGGAAAATTAATGGGATCAAAAGCTGACAAATTCCCAAGGCCGGATAATCTGCATCCTGGAGTACTACAGGAAAAGTGGCACTGAAAATATTGGATGCATTGGAGATTGTTTTCCAATTCCTACAGATTGGAGGGTGGTAATAGTAAACCCACTTTAAAAACAAAGGAGGGAGGGAAAACAGAAAATTTCAGACCAGTGAGCCTAACATCAACAGTGGAGAAAATGCTGGTGTCTATTATAAGTGTTTTTTTATCATGTATTTTATACCATTAGTCAGTATGGATTATGAAAGGCCAATCATGCTTAACAAATTTACTGGATACTTTAAGGATGTAAGTAGCAGAACAGTTAAAGGGAGAACCAGTAAATGTACTGCATTTGCGATTTCTATAAGGTTTTTGATAAGGACTCACTTTGAAGGCTAGTGGACAAATTTAAAGCACACGGATTTGGGAATAATATCCTGGTATTGATTGAGAATTGGTTGACATTCCGGAAACAGAAAGGGAAATTGCTTATCCCCCCAGGTGGCAGACTATGATACACTCGTCGTGTATCATAGGGATTTGCTCTTCAAGACTTAGATGAGGGAATGAAATACAAGGTTTCCAAGTTTGCTGATGACACAAAACTAGATGCTGTTCAGAGTTGGGAGGAAAATGCAAGGAGGCTTCAAGGTGAGCTAGAAAGTT